AAAAAAAAAAAAAAAAAAACACCTAGAGAAGAAGGGACACTCACCTTACGTCAATTGGTAGAAATTAGAAAGTAATTCAAGGTGCTATTTCCACTCACTGGCTTTTATGTGCTGATCATTTTTGCTCACCAGGGAGTTCTTCAGCCTTCCATATGCCATAAGTAGCCTCTCTTCCTCACTTATGCTTCTTGGCATCTAACTTTTATTACTTTAATTTCCCATCAGATTTTACCAATTGATATCCTTTCAACAAGCCAAGGGGTTATAGGCACAAGAGGTGGACATTTGGAGAATTAAAGCTCAGGGGGAAAAAGCAAGGCTCCCACCCTTGGAAGAACACTTTCATGTGTAGATCCTGGTCTCCTAACATTAATTGCTTAAAAAGAAGAATGTGCATTCACTTGCCCCCAGATTTACATTCATTCACCAAACACACAGCAGAAATAAATATGGAAAAGGAAAGGTTTTAAAGACATATAATTAGATGTGAAAATGACTAAACTGGTAAATTAGTGACCAACAAGGAATTTTTCCCCAATTTTTTTTATTGTGGTTAAATACACATAACACAAAATCTACTATCTTAACTATTTTTAAGTGTACAGTTATGTTAAATACCTCTATACTTCTTTTTATCTTGCAAAACTGAACCTATATAACCATTAAAAAATAACTCTTTCCTTCCACTATCCCTGGCATTCACCATTCTACTCTGTGCATGATTTTGACTACTGTAAGCACCTGAGATAAATGGAATCCTATAGTTTTTTTGTGTGACTGGCTGATTTTTCTTACCATAATATCCTTAAGGTTAATCTACACTGTAGCATATGTCAGATTCTTTTTCTTTTTAAATGCTGAATAATATCCTTCTGTATGTTTATACTTCATTTTGATTACTCATTCATCTGTCAACATTTTAGCTGTTGTGAATAATGCTGCTTATAACATGGTTATGTGTTGATTTAGCTAGGCTAAGGGATGCCCAGTTAGATGATAAAACATTGTTTCTGGACATGTGTTTGGTGTTTCTGGAAGAGATTAGCATTTGAAATGGTAGACTGAATAAAGAAGATCACCTCATCAATGTGAGGGTGAGCACCATCCAATCTATTGAGGGTCTGAGTAGAACAAAAGGAAGAAGAAGGGTGAATTCACTTTCCCTGTTTGAACTGGGATATTCATCTTCCCTCACCCTTAGACATTAGAATTCATGGTTCTTCTGACTTGGACCTGAACTTGTATGTGTGTGTGTATATGCACCTATATACACATATACATATATATCCTACTGATTCTGTTTCATTGGAGAACCCTGACTAATACGATGGATGTAAAAATATCTTTCTAAGATGCTGCTATCATTTTTTGGCCGGGGCTGGGTTTGAACCCATCACCTCTGGCGTATGGGGCTGGTGCCCTACTCCTTTGAGCCACAGGCGCTGCTCACGCTATCAGTTTTTTTTAAGCATATAACCAGAAATGGAATTTCTGGGTCCTATGGTATTTCTATTTTTAACTTTTTTTTTTTTTTTTAGACAGAGTTTCACTTTGTCACACTTGGTAGAGTGCTATGGTGTCATAGCTCACAGCAATCTCAAACTCTTAGGCTCAAGAAATTCGCTTGCCTCAGTCTCCCAAGTAGCTGGGATTATAGGTGCCCACCATATCACAACACTCGGGTATTTTTATTTATTTTTTATTTATTTTTTATTGTTGGGGATTCACTGAGGGTAAAAGAAACCAGGTTATACTGATTGCATTTGTTTGGTAAAGTCTCTCTTACAATTGTGCCTTGCCCCCATAAGGTGTGTCACACACTGAGACCTCACTACCCTCCCTCCTTCCCTATCTCCTCTCTTCCCTTCTTATACCCCTTCCCTCCTTCCCTCTCTCTACTCTTCCTTTCCCTCCTCCCCTTCCCCCCCTTTTCTCTCTCTCTGCTTTCCTCTTCCCCCACTCCTTACTGTGTACTAGGTCATTAATTGTTCTCATATCAAAATTGAGTACATAGGATTCATGCTTCTCCATTCTTGTGATGCTTTACTAAGAAGAATGTGTTCCACTTCCATCCAGGTTAATACAAAAAATGTAAAGTCTCCAAATTTTTGTTTTTGTTTTTGTTGTTGCTTTTGGCCAGGGCTGGGTTTGAACCCACCACCTCCAGCATATGGGGCTAGCACCCTACTCCTTTGAGCTACAGGTGCTGCCCCAAGTCTCCATATTTTTTAATGGCTAAATAGTAAATATTCCATGGTATACACATATTACAACTTGTTAATGAATTTCTGGGTTGGTGGGCATTTAGGCTGTTTCCACATTTTGGCTATTATAAATTGAACTGCAATAAACAGTCTAGTGCAAGTTTCCTTATGGTAAAAGGATTTTTTTCCTTCTGGGTAGATGCCCAGTAATGAGATTGCAGGATCAAATGGGAGGTCTAGCCTGAGTTCTTTGAGGGTTCTCCATACTTCCTTCCAAAAAGTTGTATTATTTGCAGTCCCACCAGCAGTGTAAAAGTGTTCCCTTCTCTCCACATCCATGCCAGCATCTACAGTTTTGAGATTCTGTGATGTGGGCTATTCTCACTGGGGTTAGATGATATCTCAGGGTGGTTTTGACTTGCATTTCTCTAATAATTAGGGACGATGAGCATATTTTCATGTTTGTTAGCCATTCATCTGTCTTCTTTAGAGAAGGTTCTATTCATCTCTCTTGCCCATTGATACATGGGATTGTTGGCTTTTTTCACGTGGATTAATTTGAGTTCTCTATAGATCCTAGTTATCAAGCTTTTGTCTGATTCAAAATATGCAAATTTTGGATTTCCCATTGTGTAGGTTGTCTCTTTGCTTTTGTTGTTGTCTCCTTGGCTGTACAGAAGCCAAGTCCCATTTGTTTATTTTTGTTGTTGTTGCAATTGCCACACCACGACAATCTTCTTCATAAAGTCTTTCCCTAGGCTAATATCTTCCAGTGTTTTTCCTATGCTTTCTTTGAGGATTTTTATTGTTTCAAGCCTTAAATTCAAGTCCTTTATCCATCTTGAATCAATTTTTGTGAGTTGAGAAAGGTAGAGGTCTAGTTTCAGTCTTTTACATGTGGATATCCAGTTCTCCCAGCACCATTTATTGAATAGGATTCTTTCCCCCAGTGTATGTTCTTGTTTTATATATCAAAGATTAGGTAGTTGTAAGATGTTAGTTTCATTTCCTGGTTTTCTATTTGATTCCAAATGTCTATGTCTCTATTTTTGTGCCAGTACTATCCTGTCTTGACCACTATGGCCTTGTAGTACAGCCTAAAATCTGGTATGCTGATGCCCCAGCTTTGTTTTTATTACTAAGAATGGCTTTAGCTGTACAGGGTTTTTTATGGTTCCATACAAAACAAAGAATCATTTTTTTCCAAGTCTTGAAAGTACAATGTTGGTATTTTAATAGGGATGGCAATGAATCTGTACATTGCTTTGAGAAGTATAGACATTTTAACAATGTTGATTATTCCTAGCCACGAGCATGGTATTTTCTTCCATTTGTTAATATCCTCTGCTATTTTCTTTCTTAGGATTTCATAATTTTCTTTATAGAGGGCCTTCACCCAAATTGAATACAAAAAAATCATTCAGAAAATTAATGAAACAAGGAGTTGTTTTGAGAAAATAAATAGATAAACCTGCCAGACTAACTAGAAATAGAAAAGTAAAATCTCTGGTAACCTCAATCAGAAATGATAAAGGGGAAATAACAACAGATGCCACAAATATATAAGAGATTATCTCTGAATACGATAAGACACTGTATGCCAAAAAAAATTGACAATATGAAGGAAATGGGTCAATATTTGGAATCACACCCTCTCCCTAAACTTAGCCAGAAAGAAATAGATCTTTTGAACAGACCAATTTCAAGCACTGAGATCAAAGAAACAATAAAAAAAATCTCCCAACAAAAAAATGCCCTGGTCCAGATGGCTGTACACCAAAATTCTATCAAACCTTCAAAGAAGAGCTTGTTCCCATACTGCAGAAATTATTCCAAAAAACTGAGAAGGATGGAAACTTTCCCAACACCTTCT